CACACACATGCCTACGGACGCTCAACAGCTGACAAACTGCTGGTGGATGTAAGGAAACACACACGTAGAAATGTGAATGTACAGTGGGGGAAATAAGTATTTGACCCCTTGCTGATTTTGCAGGTTTGCCCACTTACAAAGAATAAAACGATCTATAACTTTAATCATATGTACATTCTAACAGTGAAAGACAGAATCCCAAAGTAAATTCCAGAAAATCACATCATATGAATTTATAAAAATGTATATCCATCTGATGAGGAAAAAGAAGCATTCTTTGTAAGTGGGCAAACCTGCAAAATCAGCAAGGGGTCAAATTCTTATTTCCCCCACTGTAGGTGTGGTTGGAGGTTCCACGGGACAGTTCTGGTTATTTAAAGGTTCCCTTACCTTTAGAGAACATTAAACACACACGCAGGGACACGCCTGTGTTGTCTTTTCAGGATCAGCCAGCATACACACGTAGACACCCGGTAGATGTGACCTGACGAGTATTTATTCATCACAGGACCTTTAGAAATGAGACGCCGGACTTTAATTTATAGCTTTGAACTTTACAGTCAGGCCAGTCCATCTTTCTTTCTCTCTGTCTCTCCTCTCCCTCTTTCTGTCTCTCTCTTTCTCTCTCTTTCTGTCAGGTTAAACCATTTCACCCACTGGCCAGGCTGGCGTTTTGATTGGCTCTGGAATTGCATTGCGGGAAAATGAGCTAATCTCGATTTCTAAGGAACCGTTAGCGGTTCAGCGATGGTGTCGTTTAATCGTCATTTGAAAGCAACACTTATATTAATGCGACATTTCTTAGCCTGAATTTGTTGTTCCTCCGTTTTTTTTAAAAGCGCACTCATCTGAAAACTGTGGAAACCTTTACTTATGGGACGTAAACTGGAAGCGTTTGATGCCTCCACATAACCCTTTTTCTCGCCTAATTGGCAAGTTCTGCTAGATAACGCTGCGATCGACTGGATGTGACATTATTATAGTGTTTTGATTTCACCCAACAAGAAATTCACCCTTTTGATTTTGTATTTCTTGACGGCACCCAAAAACTTTTCCCCTTTTGTAAAATTCTGGCTACGTTGAAAATGGCATATTTAGACTTTCTGTCAAATAGTAGCTGGTATGGTGT